TAAGCCTGTATGTTCCATAGAACCAGATCACTTGCATATACTTTTTTTAAACCACTTATCTACATACATTTCCAGGAAGATATACCAAAATATTAGCAGAGTAAGCAAGACCAATAATTCATAGAAAAAGAAACGGGTCACATGTTTCATTGCATTGACTGTAGTGAGCTGGTTTAAAAAAAACAAAACAAAACAAAACTGGTTTTGGACAGACTATTCCTACTCTAGGAAAAAACAGTCTTTATTTTAGCTGAACTATGTAAAATTAGAGCTCAACCACCACAACGACTAGCTCACTCACAGGTCCTCCAGTAAGCTGGAAGGCCAAAACCCGAGTGTACTTCATCTGCACACAGCTAATATTCTTTTAGCATGCCAATATTCGGTTCATATCATTCTTAAATGGCCACAGATACGCTATTCCAGACAACCTAATAACTACAAAACACAGTCAGCAGTCTGAGAAGGACTGAATGCCAACAAAGCCTTTAGCATACCATTCAGCTAAAGGTAAAGCCTCTAAAAATGCTAGATTTTAATTAACTGTATCTTTCATTTCTTTGTCTCCTTAATGACCATATTGCAGGGGGGAGAGGGAATATTTTGATGGGCTGTGGCATTTTCTAGCTATGTGTTCTAATTTTTTTCCTTTTAAAAAAAATATTTATATATTATCTATATATATACACACATACACAGACTGTACACACAAATATACATACACAATTATTTTTCTGCCCACTTTTAAAAAAAAAGTAATATAGTTTCTTTCTGTATGACCAACAGATAGCTAGATATATAGATGTGAAACTTGTGCCTTTTAAGCAAATACATCTTTTAATACTTCTGTATCTTTAATATGTATGAAAACTTGACATATTAAGTACAGTTGGGGTGTGTATATACACAGTTGTTGTGCAAGGTCAATATAAAAAAAGTCTCAAGGTGGCAGAACTGGTCAGGTATTCAATTGGCATATGCATTATACTGTAACACAGTCAAATTGTCTAAGTTAAACAAATACTGTACTGACATGAATGACTTTTCTCTATATTTGTCTTTGTGAAGGAGGACCCTGGAAGTAACCTTTTTTTCCCCTCATATTATACATTTGATACAGTACAATGCCAGGTGAAAAGAGAGCCTTAATAAAGCATGCATCACCCATACCCCTGTATAAGACCCCCTACAAGAGAAGGTCACTTGCATAAGGCACCATTATTAAGGTCAACAGTGCATTAACAGCTAGAAAACCAGAAGTTAGTCCTCAAGGCATAAATAAGAGAAAAATTAGCTGCATGAGAAAAATCAGTTTCTAACCAATAGTGGTTTTATCCACCCAACAGAAAAAATTATTCATGTTCCATACATTATGTAACATTAGACCAATTGTATTTTAGCTGCTCTTAACCGGAATCAAAACTGCAGTCCTGATTAAAGAATGGAAAAGCATATAGTTCCCCAGAACCATGCAATAACCTTTGTATTATAATGAAAAGTTATAGTTGTGTTACATTTGTAAATACACAGCTTATACAATGGATTACAAATGAGCTCTGTAGCAAGTAAAACAAGCTACTTGACACATTGCACGTTTAATAGCTGCACCAGACACCTAAAGCTCCTCTCACACAGGAACAGGGAGGCCCCCCATCTCCATTCTGGCATCCTGACTCTTTTTTTTATATCCCCCCTTTCCCCTCTCAGTTTTTCCCTCTAAAAAGGTGCAGACACCCCTCCCCCCACCCCTTGGAAATGATTGGTGGTCGTCCCATCTCACGAGATATTCCTCACATACAAGACATTCAGACTATTTTTTTTCTCTTACAGTTATAAAACAACCACAAGAAAAAAAATGTGCCTCAGCATACAGTCATCAAGAGATCCTCATCGCATACAGTCGCCCAATCATTAACATTCTCAGTGCACATGCTCACGGCAAAGGCTTAGGAGCCACTCAGAAGGTTAGATACCAGTGTATGAGTCCAGGAAACCCCAAACATCACGCACTGCGGTTGCTATGCCGTTTCTTACATGACTTATTAGCCCTCGAAAGACCTGCAAGGAAGTGAGGTCCTGGAGGCAACTGGGTAGGGTGCAAAATGGCATGCTTTGGCTGGAACACGCATCCCTCCGCTCAAGGCTCTTCAACCTTGATGCCTCTTAGCCCGCAGGATTCACCTCTTGACCCATTCAGAGGTGTCTCTTCATGTGAAGGGCCAGGTGGTCAGACCTGGAAAAACACCTGCAAGGCAAGAGGCAGGCTGCGCATTAGCCCAGGGCTGCTGGCATGCACAACGTGATACGCCCATCCAAGGCACCTCCCCTCGCTCTGCTACTCCAAAACACAGCTGGGGGAGGAGGGATTTGGCATTCCCAGGATACACAGGAATACTCAAGGTGTCTGTGGGCACTCAAGAGCTCTGCAGACGGGTGGTAACACCAGGGACTTCTCAACACTCAACTGCAAGATCAGGGCTACAAACGCCTTCCCAATGATTAATAAAATGGATGGGTTTTCTTCCAGTCTAAATATACAATAATCCCTTAAAAATACCAGGCACTGTTGTTTTCCCAAATAATTCCTACACAAGTAAAAAGCAGCCTAGACTAGCTTTCCAATGAGTATTAAAAATATATATTTAAAAGGGTGCATTTCAGTCACATACCTGTCACAGTGACTACATTTAAAAGGCTTGGCACCAGTGTGCTTTCTGAAGTGTCTGGTTAATTCATCACTTCTTGCAAAACGCCACTCACACCCTTCCCATGAACATCTGTAAGGCTTTTCCCCTACAAAGAAAGAAGATTACACGTTAGTCATGACTTCATTCAAAGAAAGACAGGTGCTATCATTTTCTATGTAAACCTTTTCCATCCCCCAAAGACAGCCAATTTTATTTAACCTATCTGAATGCTTCAGAACATGCAAGCAAAGAAAGCTCTCAAAATTCATCCATATGATTCCTCCTTAACTATCTTTCTGCAACAGCACATCAAATAAGCTCATTCTTATGAAAAGTAAATGAAAAAAAAAAGTGATTAAACAGGTTCACAAGAAACAAAGGAATCTAGCCCTCTACCATTCCTGTTCACCGGTAATGGCAGGCTTACAGATATCATGCACCTCATAAAGGTGATTAAAGACAGCACAGCTAGGCTACAAAATGCAATTAGGCTACTGTGTTGCATCAAAGTCCTCTGTCACTCACTCATCTGCATAACACGCAACCTCCTTTCTGCTGAGCCACTTATTCTTGGAAAAGCCTGCACACCACTTTGAACACTGCTATTTCAGCATTCAAGAAATACCACTTCCATTCACAGGAACATTCTCAGCCAGACAGCACCAGAACACCAGTTCTGCAATATTTCTGAGGCTGGCAGCTATTTATGTCTCTTCAACCACCACAGTTCCAGTGGAAGTTGTTCTCTTCTCCTGAAATAATCCTGTTTTATCTGACTTCTGCTTGACAATGGGAGCATCTGAGCTTGCTCAGACTTCCCATAAAAGCCACAAAATGCTGAGCCTATGAGTCAAAATAGAACCTTTTCCTTGAATTCTCTTTCCCAATGTTCAGGGGTAAAAAAAACCCAACCAGCCATATAGATGTTTGGACTAGTACGGCAAGAGCACCATGCCGGTTCCTCAAGTTAAGCAATGACTACTGAGCCAAGGCACAGCCCTACACATCTAACTGCTGTCATAAAGAGCTGTCAAATAATAATGCTCAAACAAGCACATCAGCACGCTACTTCAACCATAAAACATTTATAAAGCCCTGAAGTGTCTATATTCCTCACTTTCCTTCCCAGTAACACACAGGATTGTTACTTTTAGTTCAGGTTTCATAATAATAAAATGCCGTTGTTCAGTATTTTGGGATGAAATTATACAGTAAATCATACATTTTTAAGTCCGATTGGGCAGATATGTTAGAAGGACAACACCACACTGTGGCTTTTCAAGATTTTTTTGCTGATAGCAATGGCACACATGAGTGTTAAATGACTTAGTAGTAAAGCTATACTTAATATAATCAAGGCCTTGGGAGGTCTGATAAAATAGACATGATGTAGACTGAAGCATAAAAACAAGCTCTTACAGTATTTAGTGATCTGACCAATTTTTGGATATGACATTCCTTTTTTAGCAATAAAGTCACAGCTCGCTTTTGCTTTAGAAATAATCATCATGAAAAGTCTAGCACCTATTTAGGCTAGACCTCTGCTTCTGAAGACCACATGCTGGTGCAGCTTCCCAACCATTGCCTACTTAGATGAGCGGCTCCCATTTGCTACGACAACAGACTAATCTACCACCAGCTGCCCTGGCTGCAGCTGACTTATGAAGAGAATGAGGAAGTGATGTCGTCCATGCTGGTAAGCCTCTACTGCTATTACATCATCTCTCCAAACCTGGGCTCCTACTCAGTGATTGTGTAACGCTGTGACACCACCACCATCACAGGGTATTCCCTGCAGTACTTGCCAGCTCTTAAGAAGTATAGGGTTACTAACCTGTATGAGTGCGCTGATGTGCTTTCAGATGTGAACTTTTGGTGTAAACTTTCCTGCAACCGTTAAAATGACACCTGTGAACACGCCTTCTGCCATCTGGCGAGGTGTCACCATTGGAGGGTGTACCTTTTTCTGCAGTCTTTCCAGTGGTACCGGTACGAATTTTCCCCGGTGAATGCAACTCACCCGGCGTACAATTCCATATCTGGGAAGAAGGCTCCTTGCTGAGCTCAGGAGATGAAGGGGGAGTGGAAGTGACAGATGAACTCAAGTTTCCTGAACTGGCTAAAACATCGCTTATAGGGTCAGAGGTAAACTTTGTAGTGGGCGAGAGCTCCTCAGAGCTGTCTGAAGATTCGCTGCTCACATCAGAATTCAAACTGTTGGTCTCTAAGTTCTGACTAGTAAGATTGTCCTCTTTTGGGACACATGTGTTCTTCAGTTCAGATTCCTCCTTTTTCTCACGTGCCAGAATAATTTTGGTCCAGAGATCCTCTTGGCTATCAAATTTGATTTCAGATGCAGAAACATAACAGGGTTCACTCTGAAGATACCGTTCCAGCTCCAAACATGTCTAGGTGAAAGAGGAGGAAGAAAAAAAGAGTTACAAGCCTGCTTAAAAATAAACCCAATTGTATTTTACACTTCAAAAAGCATGCAGGAATGTAGTATGTTCGATTTATGGTTTCTAGGTTCAAAACAAATTAAAGGCTCCTCAAGCCGTAACTAGGTGACTGCTACGATGAAAAGAAATCAGTTTTTGAGACCTGGGCAGGAGTTCAAACGCACAGCTGAAGGTGCAAGTCAGCCTTTGGTTTCCAAAATAGCATTCTAATGACTCAGTCAAATTATCATCACTCTCATCATAAAATCTGTGTTTTCAGTAGGCTCATGTTGAAAAAGACCATAGAGAACCACAACAAATAACCACACTTTGCTCTTGCACCTTGTCTAATTTCAAATTGTTTTGTATCTGCCTCACACAAGCACAAGGCTGAAAGGACCCAACCGAAAATAATGTGCTCTGACACGCAGTTAAAACCTGAACCCTTCTTCAGAAAACAAAGCCACATTTCAGCATGGCTGCGGAGCTGCCAGCCCATCTTCTGGGGACATCAATGGAGCAGCAGACATCCTCCCATTTCCTGTGCATGAGAACGCAGCACACTCGACTTTCAAAGAATGTCATTTCCAAGCGCACTGGCATGCACACCACATAACTCAAACTGCTCCCATGCGTGCTCAGAGGAACATGGAGAACTTCAACAACAGAGGAATGGAGCAAAAAAAAAAAAGTTCCAGAATAGAAATGTCCTGTTCTATAGGATACAAAACGGGAAATTACTCTGAGGTCCTGCTGGGAGTCCCACAATGAACAAGAACTTTATCTACTGGCCAAGAGTGCAACTATATGAGTCATCTCTCTCTTTCACGCAATGCCAAAGGAGACTTCCTTTTAAAACCCTGACCATCTGCCAAGAAAGTACTCTGTGCAAATATACATGCAACAGTACATGGACAACTTCACCCCCAACAACATTCCCCTCTACTCCATGAAATGAAACAAAACAAAAATCAAAACCACCCTAAATGGGTGAAACTGCGGTTTTCAATTTCAATTCACCCTGCTGACTTTCTAGCCATTTTCAGAGAGGAAAAAAAAAAAAAAAAAAAGAGTATGAACTGTTATGGCAACAAGCTGATGTTTTGGGATTATTCTTTCCACTATAGGAAATGATCCACATGGAAGCTTTACACAGAAAATGGACACACCAAGTTTCCATACCAAGCTCTGTTTATTTTAACAAGATCATCTTTTCCAAGTCAGGCAGCAAAACCTGGTCCCAAATGCCACACATTCCCCTCACAGCCCCTTCCCATCTGCCCACGAGCGGAGCCGCCATGGGAGCAGACTCCTCTCTCCCCCAGCACTGCTCCAGTAAACTGGGTCACATGCTCTGGCCAGGCTCGGAGAGTGGGCAAAAATTGAAAAAAAAAAAAAAAACCAACAAAAAAACCAAAACCAAAACCAACCAGAACACCAAACAACCCCCAAAACCAAACCCACTGCTGCACACGGTATTTATGTATATGTCTATAATTAGGGAACTGGGTTTCAGTGCACGTTATAAACAAAAGGGGGTTCGACAGAGGCAGCACAATAGTGCATTGATTTTTCGTGAAAACAAGTAAAAAAAAAGCATTTATTAAGATCTTGTTAAACTTTCATATTCCCGTCTAATTTAAATTCCTCATTAGGTAGATTAGTAATGGGGAGCGGAGTGAAGCTCTCTTCGAGTTTAAATGCCTCTGAAGGCTACTGGGAATGAGGGCTGGCGCTTCGCCAAGAGCCCGAATGCCTGAAGGAAACTACTTAGCTCCATTTCAATCACGTACTATGGAGCTGCCGCTCTGAAAGGGGAGTGGGGGGAGGGAAAAAAAAAAAAAAACACGAAGGGATTGTATACAATTAGTAGGCATGTGAAGGTTGTAACACTTTTGCGTTTCAACCTTCTGGGAAAGGCTCCTTCGTCCTTCTGCAAAGCCAGCAGGTATCTGATCCGGTCACCGGGCTGAGCAGCCCCCCGGTCCCCCGAGCCCCGCAGGACTGTCAGCCCCTGCCATCCCGCTGCTTCCGTCAAATTAAGGAGAGAAAAGAAAAAAAAAAAAAAAAAAAAAAAAGGGAAAAAAAACCCGGCAAGAAAATATGTCCATTAAAGGGAAAGAGCCTCCGTTCTCCCCCTTCCCGGCCAGGGCAATTAGCACAAGGGGATCGCTGTCATATGACTGACAACTCACGGGCTCGGCAGAGCTCCCTGCGCTGGGAACAGCCACGCTCTGTACATGTACATACACATGCACAAACACAGACGTGTGTGCGGACGCTCCTGGAGGGCTTTCTCCTCATCATGGCCAGGAAAAAAAATAAAAATATTAATTTGGGGGGGGGAATCAAAACAAAAGGACATAAACGCCAACAAAACAACAACAACAAAAAAATTCACAAACCCACAGCACCGGGCGCAAAAGCAGCCCTTGGCCAAGGCAGGGAGCTTGGATGACAAGACCCAGCTGTGGAGTCTGGACCTGGTACAAGCGCAAAAGTTTTGCCAGGACTCGGTGCGAGCGGAGCGGGGCCGCGGGCGCTGACAGCCCCCGGCAGGGCCGGGTGGCAAACAGGGAGAGACAGGGATGCGCAGCTCCTTCCATCCACCTCGGGACTGTGCCGTCTATGCAGAGCCGAAACACCTGCTTCAAAACATCTCTACACATTTGTGCTGAATTCTCCCCAAACTCCTCGCTGACACTTGGGCTTGCCTTATTTTTTTTTTTTTTTTTGTCCTTTTTTTTTTCCTCCTTAAATCCGCTCATCCTTTAATACGGCTTAAAAAAAAATCCCCGACAACAACAACAACAACATCGACATCCTCATTTACCTGTTGCCAATATTCCTCCAGGGACGGCAAGGCTGAGAAGTAACCCGTGTCGTGCACAATCTGGAGTTCCTGGAAGATGCTGCACATTGGGAGAACATCCATGTCTCAAGTTGCAACAACAAAAGTCAGTGCTGGTAACCAAAAATACAGATGCCTCCTTTATGTGCAGGGGTTGCGGGGTATGTGCGGGGGGGTGTCAACCTCTGCTCTCAGTTTCCAAGCCCCCCCCCTTTCTCCAGAGACGAAAAAAAAAATTATATATATATATATATAAATTCCTTGAGGAGCTCGGGGAGAAAAAAAACACCCAAAGTTTCATGCAAAGTTTAATCGCACAGCAGGGCAGGACGTCTCCCGGGGCGGGCGGGTGCGCGGCTTGTTCCCCCCCTCCCGCGGCCGGCGGCGGCGGCGGACCTGGCGCAGGAGCGGCCCCAATATTTGCAAACACGGCGCGGACTCTGCGAGCGGAGCCCCCCGCAAGAAACTTCCCTATTCAAAGCTCGGCCCCGGCCGCGCCGCGGCCCCGCCCCCGCGCCCGCCCCCGCCCCGCGTGATCCCGGCGCGCCGCCCGCCCGCCGCCGCCCAATCGCCGCCCGCCGCCCCGCCACCCGCGTGCCGCTGACGTCAGGGCCGCCCAATCGCCGCGCCGCTGCCATCGCGGCTCCTCCTGGCGTGACCGAGCCCGGCCGTGACGGCTCCCGCCATTGGCCCGATTCGAAATTCGAGCCCTCCTGATTGGCCGGCCCGGCCGCGGCTATTTTTAGCAGGGTATATAAAGCGGGGAAGCGGCCGCTTTTCTTTTTTTTCCCTCTGTGGAGGGGCGGTGTGAGCGCGCGGGGGAGGGGAGCGGGCACGGCGCGGCGCTGCCGGCGGCGGCCGCGGGGGGCGCTGCGGGGCCGGAACGGGACTGAGCGGGCTGTGAGGGCTGAGCCGGGGTAACTGTGACCCTTCTGGGTCCGAGCGGGGTGTGAGAGCTGACCCAGGGTAATTGTGAGACACCCCCTCACTCCCCGCAGGCACGAGCCGGGGTGTGAAGGCTGACCCGCGAGAACAGCGACTCCCACTGGGTCTGAGCGCGGTGTCCGGGCTGACCGGGAATGACCACAATCCCCCCCCCAGGTCTGTGCTGGTGTGGTCCATGGTACCGCTGACACCTCCCCCTCCACTTCCCCCAGGTGTGTGCTGGGGTGTCCAGGCTGACTCGGGGGTATCCACGACCGCCCGGGTCTGCACTGGTCTGACCAGGGGTTACCGTGACTCCCCCATAGCACCTTTGCCAGGAGGACGCAAGGCAAGGTCCACATACTCCCCAGGGCCCTTGGGTTGTGCTTTCCTTGGGAGAAGAAGGGCTCAGATGTTCCTGCCCTTCCCTTGTCCCCCACCACAGGACAGCTGGGGAAGGCCCTCCTTGACGCCTTGGAGCAGGAGCTGGGACTCAAAGCAGACCTGGATGATGGTCCTGGGGCTCTGCACAGAGATCTTCCCGCTGTCTAGGATGGGCACCACAGAGGGTGCTACTGGCCAGCACCATCCGATACGGCTTCTCCAGGAATAGTTCGTGCTGTGGTGCCCAATTCCACCACTATCCACAGATAGTTATTTGTGTGTTGGTGACGGAGCACTGGCTTTTTTAAGACTGGACTTGTCAATGATATGAATGTCTTAATATAATTTAAGGAAATACGGTCGTTAGCTTTCCAAAGGAGTGTCCAGCGCATGGAACAAACACTCCTAACGTGCTTCTTTTATGAAAGGACTTCTAATTTTCCACTTCTGTTTCCATCATAATCTCAATGCTGTTATTTCCATTTCCCCACTTTTCTCTGTATCTGTTGCTGGTTGCCTACAGATGGTAACTGAAGTGCTTAATGTGTGTTTCTTCTGCCTACTGTCCTCTGTGAGATGGTGATTACAAGTGTGAAAATGTCTGTATAACTTTCCATCCCCTGGCCCCTCATAAAGTATTAATTTGGTGATTCTATAAACAAACAACTGGTGTTCATGTTCATGGCTGGTTTTCCTGTGTCTATGCAAAAAAACCCAAAAAAAACAAACAAAAAAAAAACCCTAAGGTCAATTAGAGTATTATTTTATGTTTAGAAAAACAAGCCAATGCCGAAAACACAGAACATCTAAATCTGGATAATTATGCACACTTGATTGAATCAGTAATTCTTTACTTGGTTTCACATGGCCAAACATGTAAATATATATCCAAAATTGCCTTGCAGGCAACTGATAGTGCAGGTACTTTTGTGTGTCTACTTTTGGCCAAAACTAGGTCCTCCAAGGAAAAGTGCAGAAGGAAAAAAATGAATTACACACCTTACTTGAGCCTACTTTTAGTTCTGTGGAATAAAATATTTATTGGCCTGAAATGCACTGTGTGCTCCAGTCAAATATAACCTGGTAACATAACTCTGGGAATCATTAATGTTTGTTTAACTGACCCTCTTGGAGAAGATTTTATTTTCAAACATAGTGACAGTAAATGCAACTGTCTTCTCTTTCTATTTTACACTTGCCCCTGCCCCCTTTTCAGCTGTGTGTCATGTCAGAGAGATCTGGGCTTATCAGAGGCTCGATAGGATTGGCTCTGGCCATGTGGAGTTTGAGGCCTAAGGATCTCACTTTGTGTGGACATCTTCATATGAGCGGTATCTCCCAGTGAAGAACAACTGGTGCTAGCTGATGTAAAGCGAGGGAGATGCAAAAATCCTTTAATAAAATGCATCTTTAGTTAATAAGTAAGGTTTTCTGTGCTGCTGCCAGTCTGTGATTGGTTGAGGGGGGTGAAGTTTATTGCTGTTGGAAAAAAACAAACCACATCAAAGAAAACCAGGGCACAGATGTGACTGTAGTGCAGTAAAAACTGTTTAAGTTATATTGTGATTAAATCCTGTCTTTGATTAGACAATTATCAATTGGCAAAAGAAAAATAACATAAGTGTCACTGGATGAGTTAGTTTTAGATTATGACTGTACTAACAAATTTTAATTTCAAGTATCAAAAAGCATCAATAGAACTAAAGGTCAAACCCAGATAAGATGGAATGTATAAGAATACAGAGTGAAGAAAACAGACGTAGTGTTTTTACCCAGTATATATTTAATCAGGAATTAAAATGAAATGGTAAGTCAATAACGTTGTGGTTTAGGAGACTGTTCCATGGAACACAAGCTGAGGGAAACTACTGGCACTAATAACAGCCATGTGGAAGGAAGGGATGGCATGTAAGTTGAAGGGAATTTATTGTAGTCTATGGAGGATAATAAACATTAGGACAAATTTTAATAGGGCCCAAAATGAAAGAAAATGAAAGAATGAACTAGTGAAGATACTTGAAGATATAATTTAGTCCCTAATGACTTTCTTCAAGCTATACAAAGCATTTAAGCTTCAAATATCCATTTTCTACCACTGGGATTTTTTCAGTCATGAGCCAGGATGGAATTTACCTTGAAAACCTTAAATGAAAGTATGTTCTAATTCTAAAATTCCAAACCAAAACTGGGACTACACAAGTTTATTTAGATGTGCCAACCAAACACAAAGACCTCTTCGTTTAGAAAGTGATTTAGAGCAGAGATCTCTTCTTCTATGGAAGTGAAGGATACCTAAGCATGTGTACTGAATGGGCAGTGCAAGTGTGTTAAGAAGGAATACAGCTGTCAAGTTCCTTGGATAATTTTCTTGCCGTTGCCATACAGTATTTTCTTGGTGTATGCCCTTGATTACATAGAGGTAGTCACAGATTTGCTTCCAATTCTGTAAATGTTCTTTGTGGTTTTAACTCTGCATTTATAAAGGTCTGCATTTATAGGTCATTTATAAAAGTAGCAAAAATTAATATAAATTTCTACAGGATTTCTCAAAATGTCGATGTTCTGACTGGGAAGTTGCACAACAGCTTTTAAGTATGACTCTCCACAATTTAGGATAATCAGCCAATTTACCCCTTTAAGGCCACTGATTTTACAAATATGTGCAGAGAAAAAAGACCTGTGTGCTTTTTTTTTTTTTTTCCTTTTTGCTTCATTAATTTTAGTAAGGTTCTGTCTGAAAAGCTATACTGACACATTAAATGCCCCACCACTTCTCTGTAGTAACCACTTTTGTCAGGGATGGTAGACTCTTCCTGGAAAATCTGTTCTCCGATGTAGCAGGTGACAGACGGTGTTTTCCAGGTGGGCTGAGCTCCACATGAGGCAGGGGGAGCACCTGTTCTGTTCTTAGAATATTCATGCATTTTTAGAGGACACATTAACTTGCTCTGCACTGTATTCAGCACTGAGAGTAAGAAGAGGAGAAAATCTCCTGAAAATGGTTCACATACAGCCAAATGCAGGGAGGTTAGATGAAATAGGCAGGAATCGATAGCTTGTGGTTTGATTACGATAAATGGACTTTATTTGGAGAAAAAGAGAGAGAGAGAGCGTGTCAACTGCATTGTCAGATAGCAGAGAACAAACACTACTTGAAATGATCTGCTTCCGAGGTGGTAAGTTGCTAAATCGAAAACTAGCGTGCAATGTGATTCTACCACAGATAAAGTAAATGCTCTTTGAGGATATATAAATAGAACCGTAATGAGTAGGTAAGCAAGTGGGGTGATTCCTGATCTCTCACTCTGGCAGAATTAGAGACTTACATTTCAGATCATAAACTAGGCTAAGACTGAGGGAAAGGTAAATGAAATAAAAAAGACATAATGACAAAAATAAAGTAAGGAAGAATTTAGGTAAATGAGACTCGAATTTGTTCAGCAGACACAGAAAACAGTTAGTGTATGTGATGTGTTTCTCTACAAATACTGGTAAAAAATTAACCAGAATGGAGGGAAAAAAATGGTTGTCATTAGTTAATGTGAACAGAACATGAATCCATGACCCACAGCTAAGAAGAGTAGTGTGTTCTGGTTTTTTTTAATCATTCCAGTTTGTTTTTTTTTTTTTTTTTTTTGTCTTCAGACGAAACCCACAGCTATGTAGTTTCCACAGTTTACCTGTTACAGAGCCTTGGAGTTCATGCTTTTAAGCTCCTATATATACTTTGATTATCCAAGATGTGCCTAAACAGTTGATGAGAAGGTAGTACTCTGGGAACTGATCTGTGGTCCCCATCAGCACCCAGAAACAGCGTTAGAACAAAAGGTATTGGCGGAAAATCCCTTTTCAGGCAGACTCACTGTAGAACGTTTTCCTTAAGTCTCCCTACCCTCACCTTGAAGGATATCACATTTTCCATTTCCATAACAGGTGTTGGAAAGGTGATTTTGTCTCTTGGTGCTGTAATTACGAGTGACAATCCTGTAACAGCCTAGTTGCATCCAGGTTATTATATCTATTTCCTCATGTACCAGTGCTGTCTTTATGCTTCAATAGCTCTTTTTCCTCCCTGATGCTTAGCTGCTGGACATATTTGTGAACAAAACATATAT